GCACACTTTAACTCCAAAGTTTGTTTTTCACATAAGTTACCGGTTTTAGAGGAAATGTGCAGTGATGGAAATGACTTCTGTTTTAGGATTTAGACATTTTTCTTTTAGATAAAGATATAACTACGTATTAAAAACTATAAAACTTCAAAATAAAAAGAGTAATGATGTCAGAAACCAAAGACAATATGCAAAATTGCCTCCAACCAAATAAAACATATCTCTAAGATTCATACATGGACTGTGACACCAATTTCTACAATGACTAGTACTGGTGCAATTTTTCCTCTCCCAGTGCCTTGTATAAAGCTAGTGGGGGAAAATTTGTGCCAGACAGTTTAAAGGATTGGACTACCCATATACAGTATGTTTAAATTAAAAAGAGTTAGAACTTTCTGCTTGGAAAAAACCTGAATTATTAACAACTCCATTAGCACCTGACTGAATATGAGGCAGTTTATGAAGACTATGTACACCAGAAGCAAAGGCACATATACAGTTGAATCATATGTATTTAACTGGGTATACATAAAAAATGTTGACTGGATCTTCCACACCTTTCAGCAATTTTGATTTAGGCTTTGAGTGGATATGAAATAGCAAAATTTACTGTGTTTGTCAAAGCGAAACAAATGCTATTAGACTGCTCAGGAAATACTTTGGGGTTGCTTTGGTTTGGCAATGCAAATAGGTGTAAGATTTCAATCTAGGATGGGCTGGGTTTATATTTCTTTTTCCACAGCTCTGTGTCAGCTCTCTGGCTCTGCCAGAACCCAGAGTAACCATACAAATACTTGCATATCCTGCTCTCAGTTTACAGGTACATTTAGTTGGAACTGAACTGCTAAGGAGGTACTTTCTTCTGGGAGGGCCATTTGGCAGAAGGATCAGACGTTCTGTCTAGGAACATATGGCTATATGCATATGACCCATGCACACCTTCGCACAAGTGGGTTCTTGTTCTCTCTCTCTCTCTCTCTCTCTCTCACACACACACACACACACACGTTACTTTCACAAATGTCATTTAAAGCACGCACACCAAAAATCCTGGTAACTAGTTTATTAAGGGTGCTGTGATTTGTGGTATGTCAAGTGTGTGTTGCAATTTTTACTGGGGTTCAATGTGCTTCTGGAAAGGGTTAAATTCTCTGTTTCTCCTCTGTGCTTTTGTAATGTTAGTCCCCCCTCCCCATGGGTTTTTTTAAAAAAACACACATAAAGGTGATCTTATTTAGTAGGGAAGATTTGAAGCAATAGAGCTGAATCCTAGAGAGGCAGATCTCTAGCGGTGGTAACTGGCCAGAATAAACCACCTACACCTGGGGGAAATTGCTCATCAATTTCATTTAGTTTAAAAAGCTGGATTATTTCAGCTCTAGAAAGAAAACTGAAGAAGGAAAATGCAAGAGGGGGTATTTTGTGGATGATGTTGTGGATCTGCCCTCTAAAAAGTAAGTAAGCAAAGTGTGACTCTTCTGGTGTGGAAGCAGCCACAGACAATGGCTGAGAAATTGATTTATTCTTGATAGAGCCCTAAAACACTAGCTCTGTTGAGGACAGTGTGGCAGCTCTGGAGGAAAGGGGAAATACAGCAAGCTACCTCAATGCTATCCTGTTACTTTTGCCTGATTTTTCCCTGCTGCAGACCACAAAGGTCCTAAGCGGTGTCCCCCCCCCCAAAAAAATGTTTAGGGGTACTCTCATTTTTACAAAAGAAAATCACCATTTTACAGTTGCAATTGGGGAAAATAAAGACAACTTTGGGCAATCCTCCCCCCAAAAAGCTCAACAACTTTGGGCAATCCTCCCCCCCAAAAAGTGAAAAACTCTGGGCCATCACCCATTTTACTAAATTTGAGCCCCCCAAAATAGGGGGTGTCTTATACATGGGGGCGTGTTATACACAGAAAAATATGGTAAGTTTAATATTAATAATAATAAATACATGGCTTCCCCCAAAGACTCCTGGGAATTGTAGTTTACTCGCAGAGCAGCAATTTCCCACATCCCCTTCCTCCTCTATTACCCAGTGATAGTAGAAACCAGGAAAAACCTGGTCTTTCTTGTGCGCTTACTTAATGTTCTTTTTTATAGCTGCTCTCAAAAATATTTTGAAGTTGGAGAAAACCTTGATATCATGCACAAACAAGCTATTGAAATGTTTTTACCCAACTGTATTTGTAAAGATTATCAAAGGAGCAAATAGTAGTGTTAGGATTGACACTTGCAAAAGGACTCAACAGGAATATTATAGCCCTTAAAAACTGGCCCCCAGTTTTCTTGATTTTGTTTGAGGCCTGCATTTGGCCTAGTATTTGCTTGTGTTGGAGGCAGGCTGTTAGTCTTCAGACTGGAAGTAGTATCAGCTGCTTTATCTGAGCTTGATGAGCCCCACCTGTGTTTTTAACCCTATGCCTGTTTGTTGTAGGGTCATCATGTCTGCCCAGTCTTCTCTGCCATACATATGATTCAGGCTCCCAGTAAAAGTGACTGAATGATAGACTGGCCAAGTTAAGAGTATAACCATATCAGTGAAGACAAAGTCAGACTATGCTAGATTCCCTGTCTGTGAGAGCGAAGGTGGTTATTATTTTTTTATGTTGACAGAAGAATGTGGAAAGGTTCAGCCAATCTTTTGGATTTTTTGCTGGCTTGTTGGTATGACAAGTTACTGACTTAGTTTGGAAGATGGACCCCATTGTTTTTGGAGATATATCTCATAATCAGTGTTAATTCAGAGGCGGCGGCATTTATTCAGTATTTAGTTTTGTTTTTAAATCATATCCTGCCCTTTAAAAGAACCCCCAGTAATGCTAGTTTATAATGTTCAATTAAAATAATGTTGCACACCATCCGAATCTCAGAGCAGTACGAGATTCCAGGCAATAGGCATGAGAGACAGTGGAGACTATGGTATCTTTATGATATACGATTTATTTACACGTATATACAACTGGAGCCTACAGTGGAGGGCCTCACAGCATTAACACCCCAAGAAGGTCTTGCTTCTCCCATAGCCACAGCCTTGGATCCCAGCAGAAATCAGGCAGGGCTCTGTCTCTCAGCTGTCCAGTCTTTCCTTCTAGCTCACACACCTCAGCTCTGATCTTTTGTCTTTCTAACTGACAGCAAGTTGAAGTGGGGGCTCACTCATTTGTCCTCAGGCCCAGAGCCATTTCATCTGTTACCTTAACTACCCATACTTCGGCCATTACTTCACCAGGAAGATGGCCTGACCGTTCCTGATATTTAATCCTTGTTGGATCCAGGAATTAGAATATACAGCCTAACTTCCCTAAAGGTATACAGCCTAACTCCCCTAAACTCACAACAATTACATTAAAGTACTAAAAACACAACAATAAAAAATGAAACAGCAGACAATGCAGATTCAGAGCCGAAATTTTTTTAAGAAGCCTGGAGGAAGGGGGGAAGTATTCACCTGGTGCAGAAAAGATAACCAAGTAGGCGCCAGGCAAGCTTCCCTAGGGAGAGAACTTTCCATCTGCAGGCACCATTGGGTAGATGTTGTGCCAAAATAGGGAGGTTAGGATCAGATAGCTAAGAGCTTTTTCTTCTTCTAGGCTGTCTCCCAACCTTCTGCTCCTGTTGAATGCCAAGTCTAGTTCTTACCAAAACAAAAACAAAAAATCCAACCCCCAAAACTACGAACACCTGTGATTTAAATATGGATTAAAAGACTGATTTCTTGTTTTACACACACCCATTGCTGTGGGAAGCATGGGACATGTTTGTAATATTTAATCTTTCTAGGTGGCTATGAGGTTTTGTGATGGATTTTTATTGTATGTTAATGTTTTGTTGCTCTGTTCCGTTGTGTGTCGTGAGCTGCTTGGGGGGGGGGGGCGTAAAAAAACCACACCTGGATGTGAAATGTCAAGGAACAGTGAGATATGGCTGCCTGATAGAGGGAAGGCACTCTGCTTGTGCTTCCAGACATACTTTCCTGATGGCTACATGTTTAGAAGCTGAACCCTGACATTTTGAACATGTTCTGCTGGAGCTGAGACTGGCTGATATTTACATCTGGAAATATAAATTAAAATGAGGTAGCCATCTCTACAGAATAAGTTAAATGCCTTTTATTGGGACCAACCAATGTTTGCAAAGCACTATTTAAGCTTCTAGGTAATGCAGAACTCTTCCTCGGACTGGATGACCAAGCAGGATTTTTGAAGAGCAAAATTGCATATTTTAAATGTTGGCTGTCTTAGTAGAATAAAATCCCCATACACAATAACATAACATGTAAAAACCAACCAATTTTCATAAGCCAGCATGTGATACAGTAACTACTAGGTAATATTACCAAGTTTTCTTCATTCCAGCGTTCTCAGAGATATTAAGTAACTAAGTTCTAATTTAATGAAAAACCAAAATCTTATTTATGTCTGTCTGCCTAAGGCTGCAATCCTGTATGCAATGTACACACTTAAACTTGAAGTAAGATCTAGTGAACATGTATAGACATGAATAGGATTGCACTCTAGGTTTGCAAGGACATCCATCCCGAGACTGGAATAATCCATAGACAAATATAAGCAAGACCTACACTTTGCTTTTGCTTGGAAACATATACCCCTGCCCGCCTGACCAATTATCCTTAGAAGAGTTCTGTGTCACTTGAAAGCTTACGTACTGCATTATGAAGACTGGTGGAGATTACTAAAAATGTAAAATGTCTGTTATAAATGACTGCACAGTTAGGTGTGTTATGGCTCTTCAAAAAAAAAGTGCATCTCAGTTCCTAGAACATTCAGAAATTGTGATGTGAAAATGGGTTTATGGTTGTTGTGTACTAATAGAATGAAGCAAAATAAATGAATTAATAAAATAATAACAGTGGTTGCTGAAAACTGCAGATTCGTTTCTCCTTTCCTTCCCCCTCCCCTGCTCTTGCTTGGAAACAGGTTCTAATTAAGACACCATTTGTTAGATGAGTTTATTTTCCAATTCCAGAGCCAAGAGACGAGAGAGAGAGAGAGAGAGAGAGAGAGAGAGAGAGAGAGAGAGAGATGTTACTTCATGGAAAGTGAGGAATAGCAAAAACTTTTCTGACTAGAATCCAATATCCCTCTCCTCCCTCCTCCTCTTCCAGTTTCTATAACCTCTTTGGCACTGGTTTTGGGGGCTGTTTATTTAACATGATGGAACAGATACACAAAGGAAACAGAAAGCCATCAGAAAGCCATCAGGAAGCCATCAATGTTCGAAGCAACTGTGTAGTGTGCATAAAGGTTTGTGTTCCCTGACAGTGGTTCTGTCTCCATGTGGTAAGCAAACCTCAGATTGGGACCTAATCCCAGCTATGTAAATCAAAGTGATTTGCTGAAGTGAGTTTATGACCTCAGTTCCTCCTTCAGCTAATTTCCTGAATTTTCCAAATGATCAGATTGGAAGCGGCACTCCTTAAACCACTTGTTTCTGCTTAGCCTGACACCCTGCATCTCTACATCAGCATCTCCACTACACCAGTACTTCTTCACACCCTTGGGTGCTACCTCACAACTGGGGCTTCACTCCTTTCAATAGCAACTAGCCTCCACAAGAGGGCACTATGTCGACTCAAGAAAATATCCTGTTTTGTTTCCACTCAAATTCTCCCTGCCAATGGTACCTTAAAGGCGATCCTTTGTCTGGCCTATCATATGAATGGGAAAGTGTGTACTGAAACAGCACAATGTGTTGCTGGTAGAAGGGTGAATTTTAGTGGAGTGGGAGCAGGGACAGAGTTGACATGGTCAGGCTGGACTTAGAGATGCCCTGGGCTGAACTGGTTTTGTCACTCTAACAAAATAAGGCCTTTGCCCCTCCATCCACCCAAAATACAGACTGGCATAGCTTTGACACAGCAGGCTACACCTGAACCATGGCAACTTTTCAGGCCTGCCTTGGCACAGAAGATGGGGAACTGGGCAACGCTTGACAGCCAACTGGAACGCAAACTGCTTATATTGCGATTTTTGCCTGGGGGAAAGGCCTGTGTTTTAACTAAATAGCAAATGGGGAGTTTGGTGGGAGGCAGTGCTGCAGATTAGTTCCAGATGTCCCCAGTGACGTATGGATATGTGTGTGCGTCTCTTCTCTTGTTGCATTTGCCTAGCAGCTGTGGCTTGACATTGCTTTCAGTCCAAAGCCAACATCCGTCTGGAGGGGCTTTGGGTATCTCATTCCTTTGCCTGGTTATTTGCAGCACAGAAGTCCCATAGTAGTTCCTCTCCATCTTTCTCCTTTCTCTCTCTACTCTCCTCCTGCTCTCTCTCACTCTCTCTCCCACCCACACCCCCACCTCTTGCTGCTGGCATCACTACAAGTCTCATTTCCTGCTTGCCAGAACGAAAGTCAAAACTATTCAGGATGCGAATGGAGGGTGTGTGTGTAGCTTTTACTGGCCCACCCTGAGGAGGCTCCCTGTCCACACCCACTGCGTGCCGGGCAGCTTTATATATACAGGTGCAAAGTCTTCCCAGAATGCCGAGTGGCTGCCAAGAGTGCTGTGGAAAATAGTACCAACAATTCTCCTTCTGTAAAGGAGGGAATACAGAGAGGCTGGGAGCCTAAAGATCAGAAGATGGTGGGCTAGGTCTGGCTTGAAGCCAATAGGTCTCCATGGCTTTCCCTGGCCTCTCGTGCTTGGGGGCAAAAGGGAGAATCTTCATGTTTTATTATAGACTTCAAGGATGAACCTTCCATTATTTTGTGGGCTCCCACCCCACTGCCATCCCAAAGCATTATATTGACACAGACCACGGTATACCCACAATAAACTGAGAATACCAGTGACTGAAATGTTACGAGGATACAGCAGTGTTGCTGTTTGTATGATACTTTATTGCCCTAGATTGAGGTGGCTGAATGAGCTGTTTGTAAATTATGCTTAATGCTGCCAGAGATTTTTTGTAGGTTGGATGTTTGCTTTGCAACAAATGGTTGGCTGGGGATTAGTTGTGTTATCTGTATGGGTGGCGGGAATGTTTGAGAGTAAGGTTTGTGTGTGGAAGATGGCTAAGAATGCATTTGTAGCAGGGTATGGTGTGTGTGTGTGTGTGTGTGTGTGTGTGTGTGTGTGTGCGTGCAACTTCTATTTCATTTATTTTGTTTCTAATGATACTGTTTCTGTGAAGTTTTTTTAATTATTATCTATTTTTTATGTTTAAAATAACATTTTGTTATCCCATTCATCATTCTGCTTTAATAGAGTATTTCTATTTGACCTTCATTTTTCATGTTTTGATATTTTTAAATATTCTATTTGATGTTTTAAGATAGATTGGAAACTGCTTTGAGCTGTTTTTTAAATATAAAGTGAAATAGAAATGAATTAAATAAAAAATAATAATTTTGTTGAACAGGGAAGAGGAGGGAGGAGACAAGAGATTCCATATTTGTTGAAAGGATTCTATGCTAATGATTTATTCTCTCTGTAATAAAAAGCCAGTCTTGCAGTCTGGGTGGACAGTGTTAGGTGCCAATGGGCTTCCTCCTAAGAAAAATGGCCCCATCATTTCAAAATGGGGGAGGAGGGCATTGACAGGTATTTTTAAAACTTCAGGCACTGGTCTGTGACTTGCCTTAGTACAGCCTTCCCCAATCTGATGCCTTGTAGACATGCATCTGGGTGGGAGAAGGCTGGGGAAGTGCTGATTGAGGCTGATGGGAGCTGTAGTCCAAAATGTCTGGAATGCACCAGAAGACTGTCTTAGTACAGGCAGCATACATAGAAAAGCCAGGATCTGTGAATGCCTGGATCTGACACCTATGCAGCCCACCCACACTCCTCATTTGGCAGAGGATTCTTGGCTGCTGCAAGCAATGATTCTGGCTGGCTTGATGGTATGTTTCCACCATCTTTACTGAGCCAAGAAAGATTTATCTTTTCTAGGAATATGGGGCGGTGGGAGGCATTGAAGCCCTGGATGAATCACAGAAGGAATGAAAGGAGCACAACTCCCCAGACACGATGGATTCAAAGGACAGTAGAAGTAGAAAATTCTACATGGGAAGGAACAGCACATGTGGAATATTATTCTCTTTGCCTGCCACCGCCCTAAAAAAGTGTAGGACACTTGAGGAATATAGGAATATGGTTTGGTTGGTTGGTTGGTTGCTGGCTTTCTAGACATTTTCCTTCCCTTCTTTTCCCTGCCATTGGAATCAACATTTGTTGAGCTTCACTCAACTCCACAACCCAGAGGCAGCAGGGCTTTACTTTTCTTTCTTTTCTGGCTCTTTTAATAACTTTTGGATCAGAAAAATTGTGAGGGAAGAGAGGGTTTTTTATTTAAAAAAAAAAACTCGTCCCACAGCACCACATACCAGATCCAAATTGAATCTCCAGTAAACCACCTGGCCTCTTAGTTGGCATAGCAGCTGTACTAGAGTGAGCCCTTATTTATCAATGGGTTTATAGTACATGCATAAATTCTATCCTGTGTAGTTACTTCCATCAGAATTCACAGTACAATGCTCATCTTAGATAAGTTAAAGCATCAGAGGCATTCTCCTGGACTTGCTCATTGAGAATGCATTGTCATCCTTGTGTATATCAAAATAACCTTCAGTTTTGAACCTGTTGTGCAGAAACAGGGAAGTTTTGAGATTGGAAGGATAAGTGTGTGTGTGTGTGTGTGTGTGTGTGTGTATCCGTGTATCCCGCCCTTTTCCCAATCATTAAAACAACAAATCCAGCTCAAAGTTGGGAGTAGATTAAACAATAAAGCAATAAAGAATCGTAAAACATAAGTGACAGTGATTACAAAATTATATTGTGAGATTAGAATGACTAAAAGCTTGAGTAAATAACCAGGTTTTAACCTGATGGCTGCATGCCAATGAAGGTGATGCCAGGCGGATCTCAGAGGGGAGGGTGTTCCACAAGTGGGAGCTTTTCTTAGTTTTACTGCTGTTTTATTGTGCCCTCTCAAAAGGAGAAAAACTATGTGGGTTTGGGACTGTGTCTACCTCAGTGTCCCTTCATTGCATTGTCTTTAATTTTTTGTAGAATGTCCATTTTACAGTTGGGAAAAAGAGGAAAGAAACAGAGAGCTGTTGATTTGCCCTTGTCAGCATTGTTGCATTGAGTATAGATAACCAGTGATGGCAAATATAAAGAAAAGTATTGATGTAGCTTTGGTAGTGAGTGAAGAAGCACATACATAACATCAGTTTCTTGTACAGAAAATATTACTGTACAGATTTCCTTGAGAAAGTGGTGTATGGGACCTGCTAACTTGGATGCTTTGTCTGACACCAGCTCCCAGATGAATCTTTCTGCAGAATTATTTCCAGCATTTCCTTGCACACTGTTTCTCCATAAGGAAGAAGACTGCCTGTGAAATGCTACCCCTGAACTTTGAGCTACAATACAAGTGAGTCTGGTTAATAATTGCAGCCCAAAATAGACAAAGCACTTAAAATACTCAGAATACCCCTTAAGTGCCAATGGAGAGCTCAGTCACAATATCAGAAAAATATTGGAATGGCAATTCTTTTCTCGCCCCATATTTTACTTCCAAGGTGGAAACTGTTGGAGTATATTGCAACAGAGTGAAGAAATAGCCTGAGACTGCTGGTTAAAATAATAAAAAGTAAGGTTTATTTTTATATTCCTGTTGTATTTGTCCATGGAGTTTTCTTAGCAGGGATACTGGAGTGGCTTGCCAGTTTCTGCTCCAGATGGATCATGTTTAGTCAAAACTCTCCACTATGACCTATCCATCTTGGGTGGCATAGCTCATAGCTTCTCTGAGTTGTTCAAGCCCCTTTGCCACAACAAGGCTGAAGAATTGATGCTTTGGAATTATGGTGCTGGAGGAGACTCTTGACTGCAAGAAGATCAAATTTCTGAAGGAAATCAGCCCTGAGTGTTCACTGGAAGGACAGATCCTGAAGCTGAGGCTCCAATACTTTGGCCACATCATGAGAAGAGAAGCCTCCTTGGAAAAGACCCTGATGCTGGGAAAGATTGAGGGCACTAGGCGATGGGGATGACAGAGGACGAGATGGTTGGATAGTGTTCTCGAAGCTACCAACATGAGTTTGACCAAACTGCGGGAGGCAGTGGAAGACAGGAGTGCCTTGTGTGCTCTGGTCCATGGGGTCACAAAG